ATTTGACATTTTGTTCCTTTACTTCAGTTTTCCATTAAATATAACTGTACAGTGCTCTACTCCATGTTATTATAATGGGATATTACAGTCCACCATTACATGATGATAATGGAATCCTCTAAAACCGGAAAGACTGAAACACTTTGTAATAATCACATAGAAATCGCAAATATTTTAAAAGTAAAATATAAAGTGGACTCAGTTACCTTCATGAAGAGCTCACGAACAAAAAGTTCAGTCAGTTATCTTCATGAGAGTTCGCAAAACAAAAACAAAAAAGTGCAGTCAGTTACCTTCATGAGGAGCTCAGTAACAAAAAGTTCAGTCAGTTACTACCTTCATGAGGAGCTCACGAACAAAAAGTTCAGTCAGTTATCTTCATGAGAGTTCGCAAAACAAAAACAAAAAAGTGCAGTCAGTTACCTTCATGAGGAGCTCAGTAACAAAAAGTCAGTTATCTTCATGAGGAGTTCACGAACAAAAAATCAGTTATCTTCATGATGATATTAAAGAAAACAGAAATTTCAGATAGTTTCAATTTTGGCGAGATTAAAAGAAAATCAAAGTGTGTTTGGTTTCCTTTATGAAGAAACAAAAAATGTTGGTAGTTTCGTTTATTACCATCGTTAATTTTCTCATCAATGGAAGCTCTTATTCCTCCCGAATTCCAAATGGCAATCGCATACTTGTTCCACTGGGTGTCTGTGGGTTCTCGGATGTACTGATTTAGTGCAGCGTCAGCTAAGAAGTTACCAAGGTTACACTCTTGCATTCTACATAGTGTCCTGTCACCCCTTAACAACACATTCGTTCGTCCAACTTTCTGTTTGCTAATCTTCTCGACTTCTGTTTTGTATGAAACCAGTGCTGCCAACGTATCCGGATCTAAAACACAAATCGTTTTATCAATATCAAAGAACTTTCTAAAACTTTTTATACGTTTTAATCTAGAAGTTTAGAAATAAGAAAATATGAAAAAAATCAAAGCATTAGAGTTATAATACTAGAATAACAACCTTATATTAGTTGTTCTAATGCATGTTATCAGTTTCCTGCGCAACCCATGTGTTAAGTTTGAGGGCTTATAATACTAAACATCGGGGTTCGATACCTGAGGTGGCAGAAAATAGATAGCCCACTATGTAACTTTGTACTTAAAAACACTTTTGACTTTAATTTTTTATCACTAGCTTATTAAAATAAACTCCGAAAAAAAACAATATCAACTATTATACCTTTAGTCTAGAGCCATTCTCCAAAAGGACCTTAAATTTTTAACTTGCTCAACTTGCTAGAAATTTTCGATTGTTCTATTATGTAGGTTACACCTTGGTGTCTTACGAAAGGCCTGTTTACAGAGTCGGAAGTGGTGCAGTTTTATTATTATTATTATTATGATAGCCTCTTTTCATAATCCACTCATGACATCGCCCAAATTGCCATTTCGGTTTGCAAATATTTCTCAAAATGTTTATCTGTCAATAAATTTCATATGGGACTTTTTCTACGATGGAACATATTGATTTAAACATTATTCATTGAATTTAAACTAGAATAAGTTAACCTAAGTACAAATGTAAGGTTTGAATATACGTAAAGTTGTAGACTTAAACCACTTTGTATTGAACAGTAAAGCTATGCATACATCAGGAATTCTTCTCGGTAATATTCCTTCATTTACCGAGACTTTGACGTGAAGTAAAGAAAACATTAGCTGTATTCTTTTGTGAGTATGGGGAAACATCTGAATGTAAACAGTTGAACTTTGTAGGTAAAATGTGAACATGCAACTGAAATGTACCAACGTTATTAACACTCAGTTGAAATGGTTATCTGGCATGTCTTTTTTTGGTAAGTAAGGTTGTACCTTGGAGGAGAGGAGATATGATGGATATGGCTATTCAAGAGTCAGCAGCATTCTCCATAACAAGGCCTATGACAAAGGTGTCAGGCTTCACATGTCTGAAAGTATGCATAGTGAAGCGGTGAACTGTAAGACTTAAAGTTGACCTCTTCAGACATGCTAAATGAACAAGTTTAAGTGAAGAAAGTCTTATAGCATTTGTGATTCTTAGAGCTTTCTGAAGATCCATCGGCAGGAAAGGAAGTCAATGGGAAAAATTGAAAAAAGTCGGATACTTTCCACTTTGGAGATAATAACATCGGTGATTGGATTCAACTACCTTCTGATTATACAGCAGCCAAACGAGATGACCACCAAACATGGAGCTTGAAACCTTTACAGATATGCTCCAGTGTTTGTGATGATTCAAATTATGTTCAATGGGGAACTGTTATCATCTGTGAAGAACTATTATTGAAGGAGGATGGATCAAACGTATATGATGACCATGCATCAGTACTTTATACTACAATAACAATACAATGCACTTGACAAGTATTATATGATAGTCTCTGGAACTAACGAACTAGCACTTGACAAGTATTATATGATAGTCCCTGGCACTAACGAACTAGCACTTGACAAGTATTATCTGATAGTCTCTGGTACTAACGAACTAGCACTTGACAAGTATTATCTGATAGTCCCTGGCACTAACGAACTAGCACTTGACAAGTATTATCTGATAGCCTCTGGTACTAACGAACTAGCACTTGACAAGTATTATCTGATAGCTTCTGAGAGTCATTTCAAAGCAAGGAGTGGGATAAAAAGTTCTAAAGAGTAAACTAAGACATACAGAGAAGCATATAAGAGGTTTATAAACGCAGATGAGAAATCAATCACCATCATCATTCAGACTGTCAGTGAAAAAATAGTCAATCCCTTCACTAACTTTGGGCTTAAATACAAAAAAAAACAAAAAAAACATGAATTCTTATATTATTTCTGTGAAATAGAAGTGATTTAAAGAAGTCGTTATCATTCTATAGACGGAATAAACAACGTCACAAAAATCTCTCAACCTTAATTAATAGTTTGTTTAATTTCAACCTGGTGGTTATGGTGCTCGATTCGCAATCTGTAGGTCGCATGATCGAAACCCGTCGCCGAACATTCTCGTCCTTTCAGGCGTGGTGGTGTTATAGTGTGACAGTTAATATCAATATTCGTTGGCAAAGAATAGCCCAATAATTGGCGGTGGGTGGTATTTACTATCTGCTTTCCCTCTAGTGATCTTGTGTGAAATTAAACAAACACATCTGCTTACCTTCTTTAGTATTATTGTCCAGGAGAATCGGATTTCCTCCCCATGATGCCAGCTTACCGTTGTCATCGAAGGAAACCCGCAGGTAACCGAGGTATTTACCAAAAGCAAAGTCTTGAACCACCAGAGCCTTATTACCACCTTCGTTATCAACGACGATCGGGTATTTTCCAGCGGGTTCTTCCACTGAAGGTGGTTCTCCTGAACATTAAGATACAAGTAGTATGTTACTAAATGAAGTGTTTCAGACGATAATCGAACTCCCTTTCTACCTCTACGCTCCAGCTGTAACCTAAGTTTCTAAATGATCAGCCGTATTGTAACTATTTCTAACAAAAAGAATACTTTATAAGTCACCGGTGTGTACTATTTTGTCAGTTTATTTTATTTTTAATAACACTTACTACAAAACAAATTGTACCGGATCTTCTTTGTATGTTAGATATTTGCATACGATGAATTACTGAGTTACTCCATAACAAAGAATTTATCTGAAATATAACTTCCCACATAATTTATTGTACAATTAATAACCAACATTTAAAATTTTGTTATGCAGGTGTTTAATTTAACAGCTGCATTAGTTCTAAATCCAAATATTTGAAACTGAAGTGAAATTCATAATAGTTATTCGAGATAACCTCCATATAGAGAAAAAAAAATTATTATAATTTAAATATTTGTCAGTGACATCTAGTGGGGATATTGCAATTTAAACATGCCTGTATACAAGAAAGTATTGGTATGTCCACCAACAACAATATCGATTCCTTTGACCTTCTTGGCGATTTCTTTATCTTTAACAAACCCGGAATGACCAACAGCAATAAAGATATCTATTCCCTCTTTCTTCATCCTATCAACCTCTGATATTTTAGGACCTATGTTGTGAAAATGTTAGAACCATAATATATAACTATTACATACGTAATATATTGAAGCATATTGTATGTAAACGTTTTCAAGCTAATATTATTAACATTAAAGTCCCCCTCCTCCCATTAGCACTGTTAACAGTCACTAACTTGTAACGTTTTCACGTTTGTTTTGTGTTAACAATGGAGATCATCATCATCAGGCTTAGCATCATCAGGCTTAGCTTGTGTTAACAGCAGAAAATATCATTATTACGTACCGTTTTCGAGAGTATCTATGTTAGCCCTTACTGGAATTCTCAAAGACTTATATAATTGTTTCAATCTTTCTTTTTTCAGAAAAACTGGTGTTTACAGATGAAATTGAGTGTATTCAGGGATTAACAGCAAAGGCACGCAATTGACCAAACAATGCATTCTAATATTTATAACAAAGAACGCGAGGAAAGTATATTTAATCAGCTTTACTTATTACGTGTACCAGGTTGACTTTTAGTTTCACTCTAAGAAGGTAGGTGGCTTTGATCAAAAGTCAACAATAATTACAGGAAAAACTTTATCTTCATTTTTTCTTCAAGTTCAGTACATGGTATCTAATGTTCTGCATGGATAGCACATACACAGTTGTTGATAACCGTACATGGATAGGACGTACACAGCTGTTGATAACCGTACATAGATAGCACATGCACAACTGTTGATAACCGTACATGGATAGCACATACACAACTGTTGATAACCCTAACTTTCTTATACTAACACATGAGACAAAGCTAGTGCAGGTGTTACTGCTTATGTTTTTGTGCTAATATACAGAGATGTTGCTAGGCACCGATACACGGGGCCTGTACCCTGATTCCGACAGTGCCCCGAATCTGCAATTGGTTTCTTGAAAAATCAGAATAGAAAACCATGATCGGTATCAGACTGAAACGTAAAAAAATTCCCGCGCCAATTGGCCTGAATGTTTTAAACACCTGGCGACGCCTCTTCCAACATACCTTATAAAAGACTCAACATTTTTTTATGGCCAAGTATGTCGTGATGAAAGTACGTAGAGTACACACAGAGAAATGTTACTTTTCTTTGTATAATAATGAGAAGTATTATGAATAAAAAATAATACAGTCCCTATCAAAGATGGCGTCTCATCTCGAGATACGGTGACCATCGAGCTCACTTGCTATGGTATCGAGAAGACAGACAACTTCACGAAAGTTACAAACCGTGCTAAATGTATTACACAGTCAATAAAATATATTCTGTATTTCCAAGTCAGGCTAGTTTTATTTTGATAGGATTCGGCCAAAACCAAACACTAAATAAAAAACGTATTTTTTATTGTGGTATGTAACCAAACTCCTGAACAAGAAGAACACCTGATTAATAACGTACTTAGCTTTGCTATCTATCGACCAAATACGCCTTGAAATGAATAACGTATTAATAATGCACAACAAATACTTGTAGTAATTCTGAAAAATGTCTAGTTTACATTTTTTTTAATATGAACACACACATAAACATAAGGAATGTGAACAATATCTGATCAATCATCGTGAACGTAAACAATATCCGACCAATCATCGTGACGTGAACGTAAACAATATCTGACCAATCATCGTGAACGTAAACAATATCCGAACAATCATCGTGAACGTAAACAATATCTGACCAATCATCGTGAACGTAAACAATATCCGACCAATCATCGTGAACGTAAACAATATCTGACCAATCATCGTGAACGTAAACAATATCTGACCAATCATCGTGAACGTAAACAATATCTGACCAATCATCGTGAACGTAAAAAATATCCGACCAATCAACAGAGAGTGGTTAGATGTAAATACTTTACCAGTTAAAGACAGCAGTTCCGTCTCTGGTGTTGTATAACCTATGACTCCAATCTTTTTCTCTCCGACTTGCAGGACTATGGACTTATCAAACTTGCCTTCCATGCTAGGTTCTTTGCTGGCGTTGATATTACAACTGACTACAGGAACTTTTGATGCAAGGCTCTCAAGCAATGGGACAACGCCAGCGATCCCATCATCGAACTCGTGGTTTCCAAGGGTCTGTAAAAATATCCTGGATATATTCGCAGAGCTAAACAGTTGAGCCAGAATACAAATAAAAAATTAGCCAATGTTTCAATTACCATCTTTAACCCTAAAACGACTATATTTTGATACCGTTCACTACCGGTTGGGTCCACGTACTGTATTATATCAAGTAATTTTTATACTTTTTATTAGAAGACCCGGTTTAGAATACTGCCTCTACCCCCCCACCCCACCCCAAGCTAAAGTCACTCATTGTAAATTTAAAGTTCATAGAGAGCCCCAGCGGTAATTGCTGGGATTAATCGCAGTATTGTTTATTTCATTTTGTGTGTGAATCATACGTTATTAGGAATCTTTAACTAAACAACGATTTTAAAAAGTTCAAATCAATCCCTTAAAATCACACTTGTTTTTGTACATTTTACTATCCGATTTCTACATGCTTTAACTCGTACAAATTGAGTGTTTCTCAGTGACTCAAGGATTCAGGTTGAGTCTGTTACAACCGACTGAGTTCTTCTATAGACATTACTACTTAGTTACTGCAAGCTTTTAGTCTTTGGTATAAAGTTTAAAATAAGTTTTTTACGGGTAGCTGTGCTTTTGGTAACATTAAGTTCATGTAAGTCCTGTCGAGTTTATTACTCAGCTTTTGGTAGTTTGGCTGAGTTTAACGATAGTTTCTAAGCTATAAAACTAAACAAAAATGACTTATTTTTTAATTTTCGATCTTTCTTTTTTTTTATTAGTTTTTACCTCATACTCTTGAGTTTAAATAGTTTTTGAAAAATCTTCGAACTTTTGTTAGAGTATTTAAGTTTTTTTATGCATCGGTGTGTTTTCTTTGAAATGTTGACATTTTAACCAATACGAATAGGCTTGTGTTTGATTAAAAATATGTTGTTCAGAACTCGTGTTAATGTTTGGAAGACAGGTGTAAACGGACGGACAGATAATGTCACCGTTATATCTCCCGGACCTTTCTGGTAGATAGTGTGTGTGTGTGGTGGGGGGG